AAAATAGGAGACTAGAAAAAAGAGAGAATCAACCCTAATGTGTGATCTTGTTGTATTGGTGGTATGAGATGATGGGAGATCTTAGGGGGGGAATTGGGGTATAATAAATAGCTTTAGCAAAGATGCAGGAAGCAGGTCGAAGGCTATTGTTGAAGTCATATACTCTTATATATGTGGACCAATCCAGGTGGATTCGATGAGAGGTAACAAATACTTTGTTACATTCATAGATTGTTTTATCGAAAACTATGGACTTACCTGATCAAGAAGAAAAGTGAAGTGAACGAGGTATTTACCAAGTTTAAATCTATGGTCGAAAGACAAAGTGGTCGAAAGCTTAAAGTTTTGAAAACGGATGGTGGTGGAGAGTATGTGTCAAAAGACTTCGACAAATTATGTGAAAAAGAAGGGATTGTGCATGAGGTGATTCCGCCCTACACTCCACATCATAATAGAACTGCTTAAAGGAAGAATTGAACCATCATGAATATGGTGAGAAGTATGTTGAAAGAAAAGCATTTACCAAAAGATTTTTGGGGTGAAGTTGTGTCAACTGCAACATATATTTTGAACAGGTGCCCTACAAAGAAGCTAGAAGGAATTACTCCATAAGAATGTTGGTCTGGTACGAAACCTAGCTTGAGTCATCTGAAGGTATTTAGATCTATTTCACAGATATGTACCAGATCAGTTGAGAAGAAAACTTGATGACAAGTCGAGTCAAATGATTCTAGTTGGGTATCATTTGACAGAAGGTTACAAGTTGTTTGATCCAGTGAACAAGCAAATTGTGATCAGCAAGGACGTGATCATGGATGAGCTTAAAGAATGGGATTGGACTGAAAATGTCAAGAAAGATTCAGTGGAAATCATACTTGAAGAACCATAAACGCAAGTCAAAAGAGAAGTTTGACAAGAGAAACCAGCCGTTATAAATCAACCAAGTACAAGAAAACCTCAAAGAAAAAGATGCATGCCTGCAAGGTTGCAAGAATGTGTGATTACATCAGATGATGTGGTTGATAACGAAGGTGAGCTGGTACATTATGCTTTCTATGCAGATGTTGAATTTGTCAATGCATCTGAAGCATTGAAAGATTTAAAGTGGGTGAAAGCAACGAACGAAGAAGTGAATTCCATCGAAGATAACAACACTTGGTCACTTGTCGAATTTCCTCAAGGCAAGAAGGCAATTGATTTCAATTGGGTATACAAAGTGAAGATGAATCCCAAAGGGGAAGTAACTCGATACAAAGCAAGGCTCGTGGCTAAAGGATTTCTCCAGAAAGAAGGAATAGACTTAAATGAAGTTTTTGCACATATTGCTAGGATTGAATTAATCAGATTGGTTGTTGGTCTAGCAGAAATAAACAATTGGAACATATGTCAGATAGACGTGAAGTGTGCATTACTAAATGGACTCTTAGACGAAGAAGTTTATGTTAAACATCCAGTTGGATTTGTGAAGCATTGCAAAGAGAGAAAGGTGTACAGGTTGCATAAAGCCCTGTATAAATTGAAACAAGCTCCAAGAGCTTGAAATAAAAAGATTGATAGTTTCCTAAGGGAGAAGGAATTTATGAAGTGAACAATTGAATATGGAGTGTATGTAAGAAAAAGCAATAGTGAATTTCTTATACTATGTATTTATGTCGATAACTTGTTAATAACATGTAGCTACAAGAAGGAGATCAAAGACTTCAAAGGTGATCTCAGCAAGGAATTCGAAATTTTTTATCTGGGTGACATTTCATATTTCCTTGGCATCGAATTCTACAAGACTAGTAGAGGTTTGATAATGCATCAAAGAAGATATGAAAGAGAAATTTTCATGAGATTTGAGATGGAAGAATACAACTCGACTTCGACACCTGCAGAACCAAGACTGCAACTGTCGAAAGATTCACAAGAAGATGATGACGACCCAACCCAATACAGAATACTTATTGGGTCACTAAGATACATTTGTCACACAAGGTCTTACTTAGCATATAGTGTAGGTATGGTAAGTAGATTCATTAAGAAGCCAAAGGTATCACATCTAGCAGCGATGAAGAAGATACTAAAGTATCTCAAAGGAACTCTCAACTATGGTCTTTTGTTTCCTGCAACTAATAAAGGAAAAGAATGCAAGTTAATAGGATACACTGATTCGATTTGGTGTAGTGATGTTGAGGATCAAAAATCTATAGCAGGATATGTGTTTATGCTAGGTGGTGCACCAGTTGCTTGGAGTTTGAGAAAGGAACCAGTAGTGGCATTATCATCATGCGAAGCAGAATATATAGCTGCTTCTTTTTGTGCATGTCAAACAATTTGGATGGTGAACTTGGTCGAAGAGATTACAGGGAAAGATCATGGAACAATCACCATGAAGATCGATAGCATGTCAGCTATCAACCTGGAGAAGAACCTGATAGCACATGGAAATGAGGTTCCACTATCTTCGGGAGCAGGTAACTGATGGAAAAATGAACTTGAAACATTGCAGAACTGAGAATCAGAATGCATACATCATGACAAAGGATGTGCAGGTCGAAGTATTTCAAAGACTAAGAGTTATGATAAATGTAAATATCTTAGACACAATGAATTAGGTGGCGTGTTAAAAATAATTCCCTTTGTCGAAGCAGTTTTATCAACAGAGACAAGGGAGTGTCGAAGATGCTGCACACAAATTTGATTTAATTTTATATTTAAATAGATTTGATTTAGATTTAAAATAGAACAGATTTGATTTAGTTTTAAAATAGATATTTTGGACTTTTAAATAGTTTTGGGTTTTGGCTTAGGGAACAAGTTAACCTAAATCTATAAATAGAATGAGTAACCCCTATTTTTGTAATCAAGTCAATCAACTCATTGTATTCACAGAATTTACAGTTGCAAGTGAATAATAAAGTTTTTTCATAATTTGTGGGCATAGAGAAACTTTGTAGAAAAATGTTTTCTTTCTTTCTTCATCTTTTATTTTTCATTGTCATTGTATAGTGATATCAATCTTGTTCATCAAAACTGATAGAAATTCATTATAGATTTCGGTGGATTTCCAACAAGCACAATAATAAAAAATTCAAAATATTAAAAAAAATGTAAAAGTGATAGTAACCAAATGCCAAAAGATTAATGCATCAAACATAGAAAGAGAAGAATCACTACTAGAAGTAGATCTTAAGGTTAATAAGAACAAAAAAATAAACCAAAGAAGTAAAGTTCGAGAAGAACCAACTGAAGAACAAAAGAAGAATCTCACTAAAGTAGTGATGAGACTCTCTTATCTTCAAAGGTTGAAGAAGAAAGATCGAAACGGAAAAAAAATTTAGAAATTTTTTAAAATGTTCAGCAAATTAACAACTTCAGCACAAACTCATTAAGCATACCATCACTAATGTAAATGTATATTTAGTGGTAAAATATTTCTCAAAATCGATTTTAGCAACATCGGATTCTAGAATACCTGGTTCACCAACCTTTGATTTTTATAGTGACTTGTTTGATAACATTAGAGTACACCATATCAATAGTTATTGCACGTAAACGAAATATAATCAAACTTCACAATGATGTGAAATGATCTTTTTTAACTGATTTAAAAGGCTCTAGAATAATCCTTTCGGACAATATCGACAAAATACATTATGTGGATGGTGTCGAAAAACAGATTCATTGTATGATGAAATACAATAATTGAATAAAAAGATATGATATTTGTGGAGGTTTAAGAAAATTTGAGAAAGAGTTTAGTGGAATAAAGTTTAAAAATTTGATCACATATATAAACATACACTCCGAAAGAATACTTCCAAAGACAAGGCTGGACAAAATCAATATAAATTTTTGAAAATTTCCTGAAAATGAATAGAGTAAATTAAGGATTTTCCTTCCAAATTTTAAATAATTGGTGCAAGTATGTTGTCTTAAACTCGGTTTACTTAAACTAAATTCATTGACATTTACATAAACTCAATTGACTTAAATTAAATGCGTTTAATTTTACCTAAACTAAGTTCAAAATCCATCTTAAAATTTTTAATTCTAGATCCTACAAAAACTCAGTTTAAATATGTATACATAAACACAAATTATACCTATAAATTGAATTTCCCATCTTTTTACGTTAGTCTTGAACATACTTACAAACACATTCAAGAACCAACACCTAAATGCATACTTTTATACTATATTGGCTTAGTAACATATAGATTTCAATTGAATAGAAGAGAAATGGAAATATATGGAATGTAATTATTATTTTTTTGACTTTCGCACTCTAAATCATATCATAGGAGAATGAGACCTTATTAATCCAGAGCTCATGAAATATGAACACTGGCTAAATATTGTTCTAGTCAGAATCTCTTTTACCACTAGAGCCCAAGTGCTTGGTTAATGGAAAATATGTTTAGCAAAAGGCAAAACCTAACTAAACAATAAGACAAATTATGAATCACTTTTAATATCAATTAAAAGATAATTAGCATTACCATAAAAAGTACAACTTCATAGCTGCCAGCAAAAACTTTAAACCTAAGGAGGCTCCAAACAATTTAGAAATTGAATAAAAGTTTGTTTCCACCTGTGCACTGATGTCATGTATTTTGCCAATACAAATTAAGAGCCAAATGGTTCCAATGATGCAATGGAAGGGTGCAAAAACTTGCAAAGCATATTAGACTTTGCAGTTTTTTCTTCTTTGTCCAACAGAAAAACATGTAGAGAATTATTTATTACAAGTACGTATCTCTCATGTATATAAACAAAGTCCTAAAGATGGAGACTCTTCATGAATGGAACAATGCTTATAGATAATCATGGAAGAACGAACATCAGAAGAAGCATACGAGGGGTCTCTGCCAAAGCTTCATTGAGAAATTTCAATTAGCTTTTGCATTGAACGGACCGCAACACAGGATGGAAATATTTAGAGTAAAATGAACAGGTGTGAAGGGCGGATGTCTCAAAAAAAGGATAAGACAATGCAACCATTCGATAGTTTTCGCTCATTTCCTTTTCCCAGTACCAATTGACAGGAGCTCAAAGCTCTTGAGTGTATCATCGCGGCTGCCTCGTGTCCCTGCGGTGGCGGCACGGGTGAAGGATGATTTGGATTCAAAACCTGGTTGAACCCTCTGAGTAGTAGATAGACGACTACTACTCGAGACCAGTCGGCTAGATCGGCCTTCACTAGGCTCCCCGGAAGAGCTTGGTCTGCTGTTTGATATCATAGGCCTTTTTGAAGAACTGCCATTACGTGTAGAACTACGAGCCCTGTCAGAATCAGGTTGCTGCAAAGATTGTGTGTTGTGGAAGAAAAAAAATTTAGAAGTCGGTCACTATTAGGAAAAAATTGAACCAAAAGACAAACCATATAAAAAGAAAATAATGTGAAGAGACACTAACCACATCTTTGGGAGATGGCATATTATCTAAAGATCTATGCTTGGAAAGATCCTTATGCAGTCCATGCCCAGAACCATTCCTTCTTGAAAATGCTCCCACTGCACCTGATAATCTATCTCGAATCTCTTGTCCGACTAAAATAAAAGGTCTTAGGAGTTAGCCTATGATGAAACTCTTCTCAATAACACTAACTATACAGTGTATCATGTAAACGTCCAAATTATTGAAACAAGCAGATATAATAATACTTAATCTCAAACATGATATGAGAATAAAAACTATGACTAATGAATCTCAGAGAAATCAAAACCATTTATCAAATTATCAGCATAGCAGTGAAATAATTCAGAAATGAAACAGATTCCAGAACTTGTGATAGGAATAAACCTGAAGGCCGTTCTAATCGCTCTCCAGATGGTCCTGGGTTTAAGGCTGGTTTCACACTCGGCTGTTGAAAATGCACCGTAAAACTAAATCAGCAAAAACAAGAATCATTACTTATAGATGAAGATGAAAACTATCTATAAGAACTACTCACCCGTGTTCTAGAGCTGGGTCCGACTTGTGGATACTTCAATATAGTCCAATCAAATACATAGTCAAACTGATAACCTGCAAATGCGCCACTTCCATTAAGGTACTTTCAAAGCTTTGGAAGAAGTTCCAACTGAGGAAAATAAAGCTTATGCATCTACAAGATAACCTTCTCTAATGAATAGGTCCCGAAAGAGCCTCTTAAGATATGAATAATCGGGTTTATCTTCAAACCGCAATGATCGGCAATAGTGGAAATATGATGTGAATTCTGTTGGATGTAACTTGCACAAGACCTGTTTCAGAAATCCACACTGTAAACTCTTTGCAAAATGCAACAGATAAAATTTGAAAAAACATAATTAATTGATTAGTTTGCTGCTCAATCAACTTAATTTAAGTGAAGAATATGGCGCGCTTAGAAGAAATATTTACGCATGAATCATGATGCAGAAATATAAAGGTAAGCAAATAATATTCATCCTGAAATAACCAATGATCTAACAAAAACAACAGCCAATTCTTATTCCACTAAGATGGGTCCGCTACATGGATCAAACTATGCCATAATGTTCTATCAAAAAACCATGATTCTACCCAACTCAGTTAATCTCAAGACTTTTCCTAATAGTTTCTCTTATGGTTTTTCTAAGTCTTCTCCTACCACTAATTGTTTGACTACCCTCCATCTAATCTACTCTTCTTACTACAGAGTCCGCAGAGTCCGCTGATCTTCTTTCTACGTGTCCAAACTACCTAAATCTATTTTCCACCATTTTTTCTACAATGGGTCATCAACACTCACTAATATTGTCATTTCTAATCTTATCTCATCTAGTCTTGCCACATATCCAATGCAACACCCTCATCTCTACTACACTAAATAGCCAATGATCAAGATCATCGAAAAAGAATATTTTTCAAGAAAAGTTTCTTGCAAGGAAATACTAGTACCTCTATTGGAGTAAGCATCTTCTTTTCACTTATCTTGTCATATTTCTGCTTTTTAGTACCAGCTTTCAAGCCTTGCCATGGAAGACTGGAAAAAAAATGCTACCAGATTAGAAAGTAGAATGACGAGGACGATGAAAGAGTAAGAATATCAGCGTCCAACAAACCTTCCTCTCAAAAAGTACATTAGTACATAACCAAGTGATTCTAGATCATCTCTTCTGCTTTGTTCTGCAAGATAATCAAAACTTGGGATGTAAATGTACACCCAATTTATTTAAACAATAATATGAAAAGAAAAAAGGAGTTTATTAATGAGTATCTGAAATAAACTGCATCACTCACCAACTCCAAGATGAGTATTAACACTTGCATATCGAGCAGTTCCAGTGAGGTTTTTGTTTTCCCTATTGAAAGAAAAATAGTGCAACCATTCATGCAACAGTGGAAGAATGTGTATGACAATAATTATTGTATTGATTTTAGAGAAACTGAAGAAATTTAATACTACAAGTAACTACGGCATGTTAGAAAAAGTCGATATATCCGTTGTTGCACATTCATTGACACATAAGTCAATGAAAACCTGGCTTTGAAGTTGAAACAAATTGAAAGACTGAAAATCTAGATATATGGAAGCAATAGTTAACAGCAGTAAACTTCAAAATAGCAAAAACAAAAGGGAATGCAATACAAAGGAAGTGCTGAAAATAAAATAAAAAACTTGCAAACTTAAAGGCAGCTTTAGAGAGATGGCGTACTTGTATGGTATATGCTTATGTGTCTGAAGATCACGATACTTTTTTGCAAGGCCATAGTCAATAATGTATACCTGTAATTACAAGAAAATCAGGAAATTTGGCATAGGATGCATAAGAACACAACATCTTAGTGAATGGGATTAAACAGCAGTGCCCGTTCAAACAACGGCTTAGTCAGTGGGAGAGATTAGTCATGCTTAAACTCCCTAGCAGATACGCCTGAATTAAAGTGATAGATTCCGTACCTGATTTGCCTTGCGGCCTAAACCCATTAAGAAGTTGTCAGGCTTTATATCACGATGCAGAAATCCCCGAGAGTGCATATACTCAACTCTGTTTATCTAGGTAAATGGTAAACCATATTGAGGTAAATTTAGCTGTCTGTTAAAAAATATGGGTTTCTTGAAAATATAGCTGCACTTACTAGTTGATCTGCAAGCATCAACACTGTTTTCAGAGAGAAATTTCTACTGCAATAGTTAAACAAGTCTTCGAGACTTGGTCCAAGAAGGTCGATAGCCATGACATTGTAGTCTCCCTCGACTCCAGACCACTTTATATGAGGTATGCCGGCTTCAAACAAAATAAACGCATTAATCAGATCAATATTGTCAATTGTAAATTGCAGAAAACAGTGATGTGTTCAATTCCACTACAGTATATCCCTGTAGCCGCTATTTAATAACATTGAATCAAATCTATGAAGTTTGCTTTGTGAAAGTAAGCAGATGCAGATCTTGGATGTATGAAGAGAAATTGAAAAGGTATACATTAGGAAGGAAAAAAGAAAACTTACTTCCTCCTTGAAGAAGCATATACAATTTGGATTCATAGAGAAGTTGAGGATGCTTTGTCTTCACTGGTTCCTGGTAAGTCAATGAAAATGTAGAGAAATATATTGGTACGTGTAGTAACTTCTAAAAAAGAGACTATGGTCACCAACAAATAACAATCATAATTCTTAAAGCACAAAACCAAGATCTGCAGATTATAAATCAACCTAGTGTTGAGACTGCGTCATAGGTTAATAGCATGTCAAATAGAAGTATGCAAATTTTGAAGCAAGGAATAAAATGTCAAACTATAGATTGAAGCTCAAGAAGTGCAAGAGTCGAAGTTGAATAAATGACAAAAGAGTTTGTAGGGCTTGGAGTCTTATGATTGAGTGTGAGTGGCCTTCGGTTTCATCTTTCAGAAATAGGCAACTAGGTCAAATGACATTCCTATCATTGCCACAATCAATCATGATGGACATTGGCATGGTTTTAAATTGCAGTGCGAAACCGCAATTGTGGCCGCAATATTGCTAATGCCGTAGTCTGTGTAACCGCATCGGACCGCAATTGCAGTGTGATTTGAAATCAGGCGTCTTTATATGTTAGGACTGCATAGACAATTCCGCCCAGGTATCTTCAAGTATTTTCGTCAAAACTCAAAATTAAAAACCCAAAACTCAATTTACTTCTGAAAATCTTAACATAAGTGTTCCTTAACGATGTATTTCAAACTCGTATCAATCAATATTCAAGCCGCAGCGGCCGCAATGCGCATCACAACAACCGTACTGACCGCAATCGCAACACCCGCAACCACATCCGGGACCGCAATTTAAAACCATAGAGAATGGTACTATAGCATCCTAACCAAACCCTACCCATCGTCATCATTCGTATGGTCAACCAACTAGTAAGCAACCACTAACACAATTCAAGTAAAAAATATAAAAGAAAAAGATACCAGCTTAACAGCCACTTCCTCTTGAGTTTGCACATTAACACCTGAAAAAAAAAAAAACTATTCAAAGAAAACATACAGCGGTAACAAACAATTACAAAAATTGAATAAACTGCATACCCAAGTAAAGCTCTCCAAACGATCCACTCCCAATTTTCCTGCCAAGTTTGAATTTTCCACCGATAACAAGATCCATCATAACAAATCAAACACAGACCCCAAAATTAAGAATTTCCCTACTACTAACACCCTTAAAAAAAAAAAAACCTAAAAATCAAATACTGATGAAAAGAGGACGATTAACGAAGAATTGATACAACATCCATGAGTAGTTGAATCGAAGCTGTAAACCCGAATTACTTGGTTATATACTCCAGTAAAGATATTTTACAGTGAAGTCTAACGGGTGCGACGCGGTTTTGGTGCAGTTATAGAGGGAGGAGTTATGGGCGTGGATTGTTTTTGGAAGTGATGAGTTGGATCTGTGCGCGGAGGGGAAGGAAAAGATGTGAGTTCCGAAATGGTAGAGATTTTGTTGCAACCAAAAGGGATGAGAAAGATACTGAATGATTGTATAGGCTATGTACGATTATTACGATTATCAAATCATTATAAGTTTTCTTTTTAGTATTATATAACTATTATAGGGGATAAATAATATCCTCTATGCTAATAATCTCTCAAATTTTATAAAATCATAATAGACTCTAAATTATTTTAGAAATTTTTAATATTTTTGTGTGCGTAAGGTTGGATTCCAACTAGATCTCTTAAACTTAAGCAATGTGCGGTGGTGTACAATAATTTTTTATTGAAATTTAAAATTTAATTAAAACATTTTTTATAAAAAAAAATAAAGGTATATTATACATAAATGAAAAATCTATGTTTAAAACATAGAGTAATATATATAATCGTTATATTTTGTGTTTTCTGTAAATTATTTTTATTGGAGATAATTGAATTTAGGAAAAAAAATATTTAATATAATTTATTAAAAAAATTAAATGAAATTTAATTTTTATGCACATCGTGTATGAGTTTTTATATTTTTATATTTTATAAATTATATTTATTAGAGATAATCTTGTTTTTAAGAATAATATTTAATGTTTTTTTATTGTACCTAACTAAAAGGGATTATCAAAGCTTACAAGTTTCGAATCGAGCAGTAGTTGAAGGTGAAGTGGAGGAGGGTACCTGCAAGACACTCTGATGTCAAAGTGAGGTTCGGAGTTAATGCAAGTAAGTGAGTATGAAAGTGTGAATGAATCAATTCTTAACCCTCTCAAGTGAGAGTGTATTTATAGTTGTTGTACCCCAAAATTTGTCCTCTCATTTCTCAAAGGATCACCCTCGACCCTCAGGTTTGTTCTCATCCAATTTCAAGCATTGAATTACAAATTTTCCAAGAAAGTCATTCATAAGGGCAAAATGGTCATTTGCACACTGAAAAGTCAAACTTTGACTTTTGGATCAAAATCAAGTTTCAAGAATTATATTTAATCAAGACATGTTGAAATATGAAGTTTATTTCATCAAGAAATTCAAAAGTCAAAATTATTTTGGAAAAGTCAAATTTCTAAATACTTAGAATTTTTCTAAGTGTTTAAGAAATATGACAGGCTCAGAACTTCTGACCAGATTATCACCATGATGCGGACTGATTCTGGAATAACTTCTAACACAAGAGTTATGGATCTCAAATATTGCAGAACAAAACTTCTCCTAGAAATGCTGGGATTTCAAGCTACAAATCCTTGAAGACACGTCCATTAAACTGAAGCTTCCAGCAAAAATTTGGACCTTTCCAAAACAGGATTTGATTAGAACTTATGGGCCAGTGTTCACATAGGTTCAGTCAGAAGTTACAAAGAGTAATTCAAAAAGGGCTTACAATGCATGTCATAAGCTTTCTGGAAAGTCTGAGAACTCGCTCAGAACATGCTGGAGCGAAAAGATTAAAGGATCAGAAGTTGAATGTTTTGTTCTAAGTTGCGCTGATGCTGAATTTTTGGTCCAGATCTAAGCTATGATGCACAATCTCATAGCGCAGAATTTCTGATTTGATAAATCTCATCATCATTTAATGCTCACAACCACTTTTGAGTTTTTATCCAAAGGATTTCCCCACGTGTGAGATAGAAGTACCATTGTTGTCCTTGAAAAATAAACGTTTGTACAAGGTTATGCTAGGCCCATGCTTTGCTTTTGCCTCTGAAAGTACTTTTCCTTAATTCATGCTTACAAATCCAGCTTAGACACTGCTAAATGTTGCTAACCATCATACTTGCTTCAAGAACAAGGCAGCACCCTAACATATGAAGGCTATATTGAACACTTCGGTCAGAACATCACTATTTGAGTCTCATTCTGGTCTTTTGCAATCAGAACATCACCAAATCCCAAAACTTCGTTTAAACAACCTGCTGTACTGCTACAGCGCAGTCCTATAACCAACAGCTAATCTAGTCCACGCCTTCATTTTCCCAAATCCCATATTTGCACCTAACTAGCATACGAAAATTGTGTCTGAAAAGAAATGGAACAGTATGTCAAAAAGGTTTTAAATCTCATTTGTTTTTCCCCCCAAAACTACAACAAACCCGTCTATAAATAAGTTGCTCCATCACACGTTCAAGGGGCTGACTTTTAGAGAGAGAGAGAGAGAGAGAGAGAGAGAGAGAGAGAGAGAGAGAGAGAGAGAGAGAGAGAGAGAGAGAGAGAGAGAGAGAGAGAGAGAGAGAGAGAGAGAGAGAATCATCAAAAGTGAGAAAAGGAAAACTGTGAAACCTTCGTAAAAATCCAGAATTCCTAAACAGAAAACCAAACATTTGTTCTTCCCTTTGAATCAAAGAAATTGACATTTTCTCTTCCGTTGTTCCTACTGACTCCATAACATCTGAAGGCAGCAGTTCAAGTTCCAAGCATACGCTCCAGATTCAAGGTAAGTCTTTGTGACTTTACATCTTGTCATTCAGAACATCATTAGATATGTAAATATCATAGTATTGATGTTGTCCATATCATTGCATAATTAGAAAAATTGTGGATCAGAACTTATTGATTAAGGCTAGGCTCAGAATTAGGATTAAGACTTCTATAAACTGTTGTTCTTTTATCCTTCTGATTTGTTGTTTGTTAAGAACTTAATAAATTGTCGATGTGCTGATTAATATGAGGAAAGAGTTGAAATGCAGCATAGAACTTCTGATTTTCACTCACAATTTTAACACAACACAAAACTTCTGAGTTCTCCTCACTGTTTTAACACATAGAACTTCTATGATTTTATCACTATTTAAACACACTAAACTTCTGATGTTCACTGACTGTTAACATACACTGAACTTCTGATGTTCACTCACTATCTTAGCACATACTGAACTTCTGAGTTCTATTCACTGTTTTAATACACATAACTTCTAAGACGTTCTCACTGTTCTAACACTCATAAGTTCAGCACACAGCAACTCAGAACTTCTGTGTTTTTCCTCTAACGTTTCTTGCAGGACCTCAAAGTGTATTAATCCAGAACTTCTGACACTCCTTCTGAACCACAACGCGCCCGACATCAGAACTTTTGATCCCTTTTGTTTTGCTTTCAGCAGCATGCTAATTCTATCTCTCATTATTTCCCTTTTTTATCATTTTCAATATTAATACCCTTTTTATTAATATAAAAAGACATAAAAATATTTTCTTTTTATTAATTAATTAATTTCTTTTTCTTAATTCATTAAGACAAAAAACCATTTTCAAAACAAGTCCTTTTTCTTTCTTGCATTGTACATTTCAATATGATTGTAATAGTTAAATAGGATTTAAATTCTTACAACCCCCCATTCATAATTTTGTACCCCCATCCCCTTAATAATGTAATAGTGTAGGACTTTACTTTTCCCGCACTTTTATTGCTTTCATATATTGTTAGTAATTAGGGTGTGTATGGCAAGATAAAAATAATAAATAGACAACCTAAAAATCAAAGACTAAAATGCATGCAATCAAACACACTGTTCACACATGCACCCTTAGGGTAATCTCACTTGTTGCATATCGAAATATAGTCATGTCCCTCGAACATGGGCGTTTTAGCAAAGACCTTCGATAAAAGATCGTAGTCCCTCGATGATCCATCGATGTTGCCTTCAGTAAACGATCTAGTCCCTAAACGACATTGCTAAGACGTCCCATAGGTTGCCTCCTATGACTATGCGAATGTCCCGCGCCCGTTCCTTCACATCCAATGATGGTGCTTCTTACCAAAACAATAGTGAGATAGCAACATCTAAATGAGGAGGAAAAGAACATCTAAGACCTTGTGAGTAAGTAGATTCGCTCCTAGTTGCTCGCTTGCTCACAACAAAACATTTTTACACCAACACTTTCATATTGAAACATTTTCAAAAGACAAACACTTTGTACACGTTCTTATAGAAACGAGAGTCGTTACAACAACACCTTTTCAAAATCACTTTCAAAATACAAAAACTTATTTGAACTATTTTCGAAATAAAACGTTGTACGCGTTCTTATAGAAACGAGAACCATTACAAAGACATTTTCAAAATAATTTCAAAACTCACACCACAAGCACATTCAAACAAAAGCAAGTGATCTAGCAAGTAACTAGGAGTCCATGGAAAACCATGGATGAAAAAGGTGTTAATACCTTCCCTTTTCATAATCTATCCCCATAACTCAAAAAACATCTCTAAAGGTCTTTCCTATTCTTTTCAGTCTTTTCTTATTGGATAAAAGAAAAGTCGGTGGCGACTCTTGCTATCCGCACATTTGTGATCAAACGCAAAAACAACAAAGTCAGTTCTCCCACCGTGTTACGGAACTGGCGACTCTGCTGGGGAGATTTCTAAAATGGGGTTACCTTAGGGCTAGATCATATTTACTTGGTTTCCTTGTTTGACTTACATGCTTTACATTATGGTTCCTTGTTTGGGCTCACTAAAGATCATATACCCTGATTTGGGACACCTTTTTTTAGGTAAGTAGCAATAAACTGTGAAGGAACTGTGCGGGGTATACCGACACGGTTGAAACAGTAGCTACGTTGATGCGATACTTTGGTGTGTAGCGGTAGCCCTTGAGTAATCAAGGAGAATACGAGGCCGCTGCGTGGTATCATAAAGCGTCAACTAACCTTAGCACCTTAATTGTCCAACTTGACTTTTAGGA